CTGTTAAGGCTAGCCAAGTTATTCCATCAAGAGCTTGCAATGAATTGCAGCCCATTTGTTACCAGGTACTAGCAAGCACGTTTTAGACCCTTCATTGACAAATTAATGCAGATATTGACCTTTCATCAATATCTGATAATGTGGCTAAAAACAAACTTTATATTTTGACTATACTTGATACAAAAGCATAAGATAGAACTGCACTGGAGGATCTAGAGCAGGGGTCCTCAAACTGCGGCCCGGGGGCCGAATACGGCCCTCCAAGGTCATTTACCTGGCCCTCGCTCAAGGTCAACCTAAGTCTGAAATGACTTGAAAGCACACAACAACAACAACAACAACAACAACAACAACAATCCTATCTTATCAGCCAAAAGCAGGCCCAAACTTCCCAATTAAATACTAATAAATTTATATTTGTTAAAATTGTTCTTCATTTTAATTATTGTATTGTTTTAAGTGGTTTTTGCACTATAAATAGGATATGTGCAGTGTGCATAGGAATTCATTCATGTTTTGTTTTTTTCAAATTATAATCCGGCCCTCCAATAGTTTGAGGGACTGTGACATGGCCCCCCCCCCTTTTTTTTAAAGGTTTGAGGACCGCTGATATATGCCTTTCGGAATTGTGTTTGAATCTTCTTAGGATCATATTAAAGTGATTAGAAATTCTATAAAAAGGATATGTGCAGTGTGCATAGGAATTCATTATTTTTTCCCCCAATTATAATCTGGCCCTCCAGCAGATTGAGAGACTATGACCTGGCCCTCTGTTTAAAAAGTTTGTGGACCCCTGATCTAGAGTCCCAAAATACTTTGGGCTTATGGGTTGAATGCGAGGGTAAGTGAAACTATGGATATTGAATCTACAAATAAAGGGCTCATACTGTGTGCAGAAATTTAATGATTGATACTCAAGGTTTATTCTCAGGAGTGCAATCGCTTTGGGTGAGCTGTGCCAAGTCGCAGATGCTGGTGTAAAGTTATATAAAAGTGCCAATTGTAGATCCATATATGTGCCGGCATCCAAAAGCATGGTTGCAGAAACTGGGTTATACTCTTTACTCCTCCTTAAAACTTTGATCAGCCTCCAAATGTGCAGGTCAGCAGATGTTCCTACAGGGAATCATAGGGGAGTGGAGCATGTATGGAAATTGCACTGAAGGCCCTTTAGATTGAGTGTAAATTACTCAATGTCTGAAACCAATGTCTGAAGCTGCTTTTCTGGATTTTCTTTCTTCTTTTTTTTTTTGTAAAGTTTTTAGCATAAAAGATTGGAGGGGCATAGCCCCAATGGTTAACCCTTTTTGCGAAGAGCCTTCGCTGTCTGTCTGCTCTCTGGGATTTTTAGAGGTTTGCTATTCATTGACTAAATAGTTATTTTGTAGGGAAAAGGTTTCCCTGCCATTTCCCCCCTCTCAGGAGCTGAGCAAACAGCTGCATTGTTTGCCAAAGCTTCTCTCTTCCCTGCGGCTGTTGAATATTTGCTTAATACAGCTGTGGCAAAGGATGAGATAAGAATGAGCTGCCAATGTGCTCTTTTTAATTTCCGCCCTCCCAGACCATACAGCTATGAAAATATGACACTGGGTAATGGATAAAGTTAAATAGGGTAGCCTCCTGGAACTCAGATTACAATTCCTATCATCCGCAGATACACAGGCCATTGAGCATGACAGTTTATCAGTCCTGGGGATTATAGTTCAACACATTTAGAGGCTGCTGGGTTAGAGAAAAGTGGTGTAGGTTCCGCTTTTTTAGAAGTCTCAGAAGTAAAGCTTTGTTTCCTTGGGAGCTGCTTTGCAGTTGAAGCCTAATGTTTTCATAACCCACTACAAAAACAAACAAACAAACCAAGAAGAGGGAGATTTTCTCTATAGTGTCTCAGTCAAAGATACTTTGGAAATGTGATGTCTGTTTTGTGGAGTTCTTGTTCCCCAAATGAATCTATATAATCTCTTAAAGTCCATATGTTTAGCAACAGGATATATGTATCACTCAAAATCACACAGTTGGGGGGGGGGGGGTATGGCATTCTTGAAGATGTCAAAATAAATAAGTGGCCCTACAAGTAAATAAATACTGGAAAAAATATAAGGATATGTAGAGACGAAAGCTTACATCCACTTTTTGTTCTATTAATCAATATATCTCCCAAAAATGTAGAGTTCACCACTCTGCTCGGGAATCCATTCCTTTCTCAAACTGCTCCTCATATTTAGGCAGAAAAGCTAAATATACACATCTCCCTAGGTTGTTTCCCATAAGGCTAAAGTTTGCAGAACTTTGGTGCCTTTAGTCATCCTCCTATAGGCATGTTCCAGTTAGTCAGTGTGGCTGTACTGGTTGGGAGATTCCAGAAGCTATCATCCGGAAAAAAAACATTTTAATGAAATCTGCTACTTTACCATGCAATAACTCTCTTTGGCAGAAGTAACTGTTCAAACCTTTGCATACAACAAAACCTTTCTCTTTTATAGATGGGCATCTGGATACACCAGTGTGTGGATCAGGTCTTTCCAGACTGGAATATGGGAGGTTGCTTTGAAGGTTACCGAATTTAGTGTCGCTTCCTTTAGCACTCCATATAGTTGGGTGAAGTCACTGAGCACCTCATCATATTAGAAGAATAGTGAGGGTTGATTTGGGTTGATCTGGACCTTGCCATTAGTATTCAGTGTTTAAATAAAACGGAGAATTAATTCTTCACCATCACATTTGTTCTTCTTATCTGGATTCACCCACTTCATTTGCCATCACACGCATTGGTGGAGTCCCCGCCTATCTCGCTTCCCCCTTTTCTTCCTGAAAGGACTCACCCACTGCATTAAAATTGGAGTATGAAACCTCTGCGGGGCAGAGAACTAAATAAGGATGGCATCGTGTTGGTGGCTGGTGTTCGGGCCGCTTGACTACCAAACGGGGTACAGTTATTACTTAATTACTTTGGAACTTGCATTGATTAATAAAGATGAGATTGGGACGTAATTTCTTTTAAGAAGAGGGGAGGAACTTACCCTTGACTGCAGGGACTGACAGTAATGATAGACCTGAGGGAGTAAGGGCAGTGAGAGAAGATTTATGATTAACGGTTGTAACCACCCACTTTTTGCTTGCCAACTGACGTCATAAAACTGTTTAGCACGGCAAAAATGACCAGTTGCCATCTTATTTGAGAATCCATAGTTTCCCCCACGTCTAGGCATGTACAGACATCTGGAGCTGGTAGATCGCCACCTCCAAATAATGCACGTTTTTTGAATGAAAGTGCCGGGGACCATCGGACGACCTGCGGAAGTAGGCTTGCGTCATGTGATGGCAACTGAGGGACTTCAATTTAACAGGATCTAGAAATGGGAAAATTGTCTAATGTGATGAGGTTCTGAGAAGGGAACATATAGAACAGTCAGAAAAAGGGAATTGTTCCTAGGTTGGTAACTGCTACATGGAACTCCCTCCTTGGCAAGATTAGATCAGTTGCCTCCTTCCTGTCCTTCATAAAGTTGGTAAAAATTTGGCTCTGGGATTGAGCCTTTGGGACAGTGCAATAAGGCAACAATAGGATCCGGTATGGCTAATATGAGATGGTTCTAAACAACTGTTTTTAAAATGGATATAATTGATTTTAGTGTTTGTGTATATTTATATAGATTTGAGTGCCCTTTAGGGTGAGAAGGGCAAAATATAAATGTTTTAAATAAAATAAATAAATACATCCTACAGAGGCACCAGAAACCATTGTGATTAAGATTCTAATCAATGAGTGGAAAAGTTAGATTTTGGTCTACAAAATCAGCTAGCAGTGCTGTTAGCTGTGTGGTGAGAGGAAGTCAAGAGGATTCTCAAAAGTAATTTTCTCCCAAATGTGGTATTTGACACTGCTCCAGAAATAAATCTCTCTTGGGTCTTCCACCAGCTGAGAGGGCTTATTATCCCACTGTACGGCTTTGATAATCCAAAGTAGCTCACTTTTACTAGTTGTCAATGAATGTCCTGTACTACTGAACAGTTCTTGTTAACAGTTCAGGTAAAGTACCATATGTAATCTGTATCTTTGGTGCCATAATAATAGACCCGGGGGAATAATGGCGGCAAGAAAAGATTTACGGTTAACGGTTGTAACCACCCACTTTTTTTAACCATATATAATTTGTATCTCTGGTGATGCTTAAATAGAGTCTTCTTTATTATCTGTTTAATTTTTCTTATTATCATGAAAAATATGCTATTTTGTGAAACAAGAGTACAGTGAGCCCTTGGTATCTTACGGTGTTTGTTTTCAGGATCCCATGTAGAAAATGTACTTTGGTACAAGATTTATCATGAACTCCATCTTCTGGTTCTGTTATTTTGTTTTTTAATACATTCAAGTTGTTTCTGACTTATGGCAAACCTATCCCAGATTTGTTTGGAGAGAGTTTGTCATTCTCTTCTGTGAGGCTGGGTTTCCATGGCCAAGAAGAGATTTGAACCTGGCATAAACCACTACATCACACTGGTTTCTGCTTCTGTTATAATTCGCTGTTTTTATAGTTCCATCCTATTAATTGACTTAAAGTACCATATATGGTTCTGCTCCCTTTTTATCTGCATGAAAACCATCATTTGAGGCAGATGTGAGCCTGAGAAAGAGTGGCTGGCCTATAGTCAGCCAATGAGTTTCAGTGATGAGCAAAATCTTGATCTCCCAAGTCCCAATTCAGCACTATAACCACTATACCACATAATCCCTATGCTACACTTACAGAAGATAAGTGCCTAAGTCTTGTTTGGTGAGGATGTATATATGTGCCTTCAAGTAGCTTGTTGATTTATGGTGATCCCATGATTTCATAGGGTTTCCTTAGGGAAGGAATACTCAGATGGTCTTTCGCCAGTTTCTTCCTCTCAAATATAGCCTAGAGAAACATATAACAGAGTGAAACGTGATACCTGTAAAGTGATTTGCTTCTCTTTAGGAATCTGCTAAGATAGTTCATCTCCTGTTTTCTTCTTTCTAGTTGATGACCAGCCACAGTAGCTCTGCTGTGTGCTGTTGCCACCCAGGGTGCTGACTGCTGGTGTATACAGAAGGAAGATGGCCTTCTGGACACAGTTGGGTTTGCTGCTATGGAAGAATTTCACCTTTAGGAGACGGCAAACGGTAAGACGGCACTGTTGCTTTGATTTCATTAACTATGCACTACTATTGTTCCTGGAGTTCTGACGAAGAGCTTTCTTAGATAGCCATATGCAGTAGGTCCACATATTTTGCAAGGGGTCTGTTCCAGGATGCTTCGTATAATACAATCTGGAACCCTATTCTTTTTTTTTTAACCTGAAATAAACTACGTTTTGGGCTTCTAGCAAAAGCATATCATAGAATCACTCACGAGGACCTAGCAATACATAGAAAAGTATTCTCTCTAGTCCTCCAGTATGATTTTATGGTCAAGTTCCAGCGGAACGTCCAGTGAAAGTTGGCAATAGACTTGCATAGGAGGCTTAGAAAGAACACTTCTCTAGACATCGCAAGATCTTCCTATGACATTATATGGCAGTGGTTCTCAACCTGTGGGTCTCCAGATGTTTTGGCCTACAACTCCCCAAAATCCCAGCCAGCTTACCAGCTGTTAGGATTTCTGGGAGTTGAGGGTCAAAACATCTGGGGACCCACAGGTTGAGAACCACTGTTCTACGGCATCCAAATCTCTTTGTGCATTACAAACTGCATGCAGGAAGCTTGTGTAATAAGCAAGCCTATTGTATGTAATTATCTCGCTATACAGTTTTTGATAGGAACATAACTTTGGAAAGTTTATTTTTCTGGATTACAACTCTAAGTATCACCTCCACCATCATGGAATCACTCTGCTAGGTAGGGAGATGGAGGTTTTTAGAAGTTATTATACCCCAAAGAAACTTTTCCAAGCTCTGCTCAAACATACAACTCTTGCATTGATTCAGATAGCCTTCATGATATCAAAAACATTCATGCAGTCTTTGCCAGAGGTTTCTAATTAAATTGGCATTTTAGACCTATAGATGAATAGTTATCGTATATACTCATGCATAAGTTGGCCTCATGTATAAATTGATATAAAATGGATATAACCTGTGGAGTAGTCGAGAGTCATTCTGCAGAGAGAGGAAAGCAGCACTGCTGCCTCAGGGGATGGGCAGTCACTACTAATCACCTACTTTTTTTCACTCAGGTATCCGTTAAGGCCAGAAATGGTGCTATGATAGAGTCAAGGGGTTGATGCTTCTTTTAGGTTGTCCTGGAATAGAGTAAGCTCTTGCCTTTTGCCACTCAGAGAAGGGGATGGTTCCCTTTTTGATAATAGTTTAGATCCATAGACCTATAGGTAGGTTGACCCAGTTTTCCCTCATATTTTAACTGCAATTTTAAGGCATATACATGAATATATACAGTAGTCAGCTCAATCTTAAGGGGGCATTTCATGACTAAAAGCAAATCTTTTCCTGCACAGAAGGACTTTTGAATGAATGGAGAGTTCTAAAAAAGAGGAGGAAGAGGTTATTTTGCCATTTTCTTCTTCTTTTCCATCAACAGTAACCTTCTTATGTACCGGACTTTGTTGATGGGATCTTATAGCGTATTGTTGCTTAAGAACCAATTAGAGTAATTTTTTTTTACTGTGCAGATGCTTAGAACTTCAACTCCTATCGGCACCTGCCAGAGTGGCTAATAGTAAGGGACTGTGGGAGTCGTAGTTCACAACAGCTGAAGGACATACAGGGCTCCACCTATGGCTTCACTTCATTCATGTCATTAGCTGTGAGAATAAAGGTGACTGCCTAATGTTCATTTTTTTTCCTCCATGTACATACAATAAGCTGTTTCTCTGTACTAACTGAATAATTTGGCAAGCCTTCCTGGATGTAATGACCTGCTTAACAATTTCAGAGACCAGTTGTCCCATATGCATCCATCGAAAAAGAGGAAATTCCTGGATTGAGTTTGATCTGACTGTTTGTCTTTTGTGATAAGCCAAGTCCTTTTGGACAAGCTTTTGAACAGTGTATACACTATTCCTGGCAGTAACATCATCTAGCAAGAGATGAGAAGAGGCGAAATGGGAGGCACATATTCCAGATATTCCACTTACACACACCAGTGCAAAAAGGAGTCCTTGCTCTGCTGATTTTTCAGTAAGCAAGCTGTGCCCACCACCCTACTATACTCATAATTTCAGGGTTTCTTCCAAAGGATGAATGATCATCCTTCAACACTTTTCTTTGTGTATCTTTCTAAAAGCCCATTCAAAACTCAGGTTGGTTGTTCTTTTGGTCTTTATACCAACCCTAGTTTTGAAATGACTTTGTGGAGAGCAATTAATTAATAATCTATTATGCTACATGCCAATTGCTAGTACAGTACATCCCAGCTGTGACCATGAGTACAGCTATTAATATAATCTGATACCACTTTAACTGCTATGGCTCAGACCTAAGGAATCAAGGGAACTATAGTTGTATAAGATCTTCAGACCTCTCTGCCAAAGAGTGTTTGTATTTCACTGAACTACAACTCCCATCACACTGGCAACGAAGATCCGCATAGTTAAAGCCATGGTATTCCCTGCAGTAACCTACGGATGTGAGAGCTAGACCATAAGGAAGGCTGAGCGAAGGAAGATCGATGCTTTTGAGCTGTGGTGTTGGAGGAAAGTTCTGAGAGTGCCTTGGACCACCAGAAGATCCAACCAGTCCATACTTCAGGAAACAAAGCCCGACTGCTCATTAGATGGAAGGATATTAGAGGCAAAAAAGAAGTTTTTTGGCCACATAATGTGAATACAGGAAAGCTTAGAGAAGACAATGATCCTGGGGAAAATGGAAGGAAAAAGGAAGAGGGACTGACCAAGGTCAAGATGGATGGATGGCATCCTTGGTGACGGGCTTAACTCTGAAGGAGCTGTGGGTGGTGACAGTGAACAGGGAGCTCTGGCATGGGCTGGTCTATGAGGTCACAGAGTCGGAAGTGACTAAACAAATAAATAACAGCAACACAGCTCCCATAATTTCATAGCATAGAGCCATTACAATTACAGTAATGTCAAACTCCATTTCTGGAGCCAAGCCAGGCATGGCAAATTCACATCTTTATGTGTACATCTTTACTTACATGCAAACTACAAATCCCAGGATTCCATAGGATTGCAGCTAAAGTGATAACAAATTGATGTAATTCTGCAATATTGATGGTTTCCCATATTTGATTACGTGACAATCGTGGAACAAAGTTTACATGCAGAACTTCCAATCCAACCCCACTTGCATCTACACTGCATAGCCTTGTTTACCCACAGAATGCCATTTGTTTTGACTTGTTTTCCGAACCATTGTCCATAATATTTGTTTTGAATCCTGCAAAAAATTAGCTTGCTGACAGATGAGACACCAGCAACTAGTAATGCTCTATTATTAGTCAAATTGCCACTAAAATCCCAAGAGCAGTGATCTATGTGGCTTCTCCCTTGGCTGGCTCTTGTCCATCACTTGCTTTCTCAGGACTTGATCCTTCCAAGAAGAGGCACAGTGGTGTAGAATTACACTCCTGCAAATTAATTACACATGTTGGAGTGATCATTGTGCAGGCAGCATGCAAATGAAGTATTTGGTGGCATCATTGAATTGGTGTAGAGAAGGGGGGTTACCAGTACCGTACTAGCACAGATTTTGCATATGCATCATGCCCGAACAAAATGGTGCTGATGCTGTATGCATCCTGAGCAGAGATTGAAAATCTTTCTGTCTAGAGAGATTCTGGAAGTTACAGTTCTAAAAAATCAGTTTTCCAGATCTGATGAAGGAAATCTGTGGAACTACAAGGGTAGCAATGTCGGTGCAACTCCATCCCACCTCCATCTCTCTTCAGTCCACTGACGGACTGCAATCATTGGCCACCTTTTATGTTATTGCATCAGCATTGTAGATAACAGACTGTTTTCAGATGGATAAATGGATAGAAAGAGATGCTGAATAAGGAGACAAATGTCCATGAGAGTGTGTTTGCTCAAGTCAGAGCCCCGGGGTGGCTCCCCCCCCCCATAGGGTTCGGTGAGGATACACTTTGTCCTGGACGTCTTCCAGGAGCACAAATGTAACGCTTGCGCTGCACACGTCAAGCTGAGCTTTGTACCTGGCTTTCGCAATGCTTATTTCAGCTGCTGCAGTTTGGAAAATGGGGAAGGGAGGGGAAGAGCTTTCCCAGCTGTTTACTGGACGAGCTCTTAACAGGGGGGAAGGAAGCTTTCAAACAAACCCCCAATGAGCCGTAAAAATCTTAAGTCCGTGTTTATATTGAGGAGCTCTGAGTGAGCATTAGCAATACGAAACAAAAGTTGGCTTGCTGGACAATAACAAGGGGGCCTCTGACAAAATTTTGCATTGCACATTGTTCCATGTCCAGGATTCTAGCCACTTGATTCCTTTCTCGCTCTTCCCCTTGTTTCTACAACAAATCATGACTACTGAGCATGCTTGGTATCCTCTAAGAATTACGAAGGTCCCTGTAAGTCTGCATTTGAAAATCACAATTATTTTAAAGCATTAGTTACACTTATATCTCACTTTCCATCCCCCCCCCCCCGGCCCCCACCAATTATTCTCTTCTCATTCACAATTTATCTTTCCAACACAATCCTATGAGATAGGACAGGATGGGAGAGAGAATTATTAACCCATTGTTGCCTGGGAAAGTTTCCTGGCTTAGAAGCTTTCCACACCGCACCATCATAGTGCTGTGATCCAACTTTAATTCCTGTGGAATATTGAGATTTGATTCTTAGAAAGGGGCATTTGAAATTTTCAGGGAGTGGGCTCCGCTACAACTACTACCCCCAGATTTCCATAGGATGTGGTGATGGTAGTCAAAAGTGGAACCATAGTGCTATAATTATGTGATGTAGAAGGGTCCTTTGTGGTGATGAGAACCTGGATGTTCCAAGATCCAATCTAACCAGTATACCACACTGAATTTTTCTGAGTATTGGTGATATATTCTTTTGAGTGCACAAGTTGTGCCACTCTGGATGCCTAAGCAGTCAATAGACCCAGAACGTCAGACATAGAAGTGGTCATTTTAGTGCTTCCATTGAATCATGCCTAGATTTGAGATTACCCATAGAGTTATATATGACCAACTCCTTGCTGGTCCAATAGGTATAAGGAAAAACTAGCTCTAGCCCCCACAAGAACTCTGCATGTGTCAAGGCAGTGGTTCTCAACCTGTGGGTCCCCAGATGTTTTGGCCTTCAACTTTCTGGGAGTTGTAGGCCAAAACACCTGGGGACCCACAGGTTGAGAACCATTTATCTAAGGCCTTGTCTACACTGCCATATAAAATCCAAATTATCTGCTTTGAACTGGATTATATTCCAGTGTCAGTTCATATATAGTGTTCTCTTGCTACTTCACGGTTCACTTTTAGCAGACTCACTGGTTTGTGGATTTTTGAAAATATTTATAAAAATATTAAATATTTATGCCCAGTGGAGGCCGGGGGGGGGGGGCAGTGACCCCAGAAGTGCAGTGGCCTGAGGCATGGCGGGGAAGGCCTGCCTCCCTGGCCTCTACAGACCCCGGAAGTGCGGTGGCCTAAAATTTTCCCTGCAAAGACAATTTGGTAGAGTTATGGGTCCACAAAGTCCACTAGCTAAACCAGTGGTTCTCAAACTTCAAGCTACAGCATGGTCATTGTTCTTAATGCTAGTACTATATATTGTTTTCTGGAAAGGCATGGTATTTATTTACAGTTTAGATTCAGCTACAGTACAGTAATATTCCCCAGACCATCTTTATTTCTTGACCCTATTTTAAATGTCACATCTAATTTTAGATGCCCATGTTGGTGCAGTACACACATGCGGAACAGTAGCTCCTCTACTGCAATTTAATATCTCTGGCAGTAACTGTGTGAATGCATAGATGTAATGATTTATTTGGACGAAGGCAGTCAGTTCAGGATTTGATATATAGTACAACTTCTGTAACAACAGGGGATATGTCCATGGGCTTACATGGAAATAGGAAATCTGGATAATAGCAAAGCCTATTGAAATGAATTATTACTGCTGAAAATTACCATAGACTTACCCTGGAGAACCTAGAAAAAATTTAGAGTGGTATCCTCTCTAGGAATTTGCTAGGTCCTCTAGTGTGATTCTGTGGTACTTACTTAGGCGATCCCTCATTGACCGAGTAAGATTGTCTTCCAAGTTCGGTGTACTGGTGGTGGATGTGCAGGTGACTGTGGAGTCTTATTCTTGACCTGCATGTTCTCCCACAGTGAGGGCATCGGTTTCCAGATGGAAGACGGTCTCAGTCTGGGTTGGCTTGCTGTGCCTTCCTCTTGGCACGTTTCTCTCTTTCGACCTCCATTCGTGCCTCTTCAAGTACTACAGCGTTGCTGGTCACAGCTGACCTCCAGCTGGAGTGCTCAAGGGCCAGGGCTTCCCAGTTCTCAGTGTCTATGCCAGAGTTTTTAAGGTTGGCTTCGAGCCCATCTTTAAATCTCTTTTCCTGTCCACCAATATTCTGTTTTCCATTCTTGAGTTCGGAGCAGAGCAACTGCTTTGGGAGACGGTGGTCGGGCAGTCAGACAATGCGGCTGGTCCAGTGGAGTTGATGACAGAGGACCATCGCTTCAATGCTGGTGGTCTTTGCTTCTTCCAGCATTCTGACATTTGTCCTCTTGTCTTCCCAGGAGATTTGCAATAGAATTATACAATAGAATTGCTTGGGTGGATGAGAAGATTCTTAGAGAGAACATATTTTGTAAGGAGGTCATGTTGTAGTCCTGAGGTTTTAGGAGCTTGCAAGATTTCACCCTCCACTGGAGACTCTCCCCAATTTCTCACTTCTGTGCATTAATTGTGTTTTCAATGGGTAAGAATTTCTTTTTCCCAAAGCATGACTATTTGTGCACATCTCAGATGGTATATGTTGCTTGTATATATTACTCTCACATCTAAAGAGTGTTTTAGCAGTGTTTGTATTCACTGGAAATGTATTCTGTTCTAATATGTATATTTTCCCAGTCTTTGGAGAATGCAGAAGATGTGGGTCAGACACATCTGAACTATGAATTACAAATACTAGTATTATATAAAGAAGAAGTCTACATTTCAATGCTGTTTAACATACATTGTCATTTAACAATGGATGTACAGTGCCGTCGTGTGTTCATTGAGATGTACGGTGTAGATATGTGAGATTAGATTACCATGTAGGCGTATCTAGAATTGATATTTGTTCTCACAAATCCTGAGATTTGAGAACACTAATGGAAGATTGACCTCATTGTCCTCTGTTTCTTGGTGATAGCAAATATGGAGGTTTAATTCTGTTATCACCCTCTTCCTCTATTCTCTTCCAGTTCCAGCTGCTGATTGAGGTTGCTTGGCCTTTGTTTCTCTTCTTCATATTGATCTCGGTGCGTCTCTCCTATCCACCTTATGAACAACATGAATGTAAGTACGACTTCCTAGCATATCTGCACAAGATACGAGGTTATCATATCTTGTAGTGTACTCTCATGTGATTTGCTATTTCACTTTATTTCATAAGATCTAAGCTTAATGTGCTCTCCCTTCCTTTTGCATTCTCTGCAAAACCAGGGTTGGGTAAAGTGCAAACCTTAAGCAATGTGTTTGACGTTATAATTATATATTTTATATTATATGTAATATTACAAATAATATTACAATATAAAGTATAGTACCATATAGTAATATATAATACTGATATTGTACAATGCTAATATATTGTGTGTGTGTGTATGTATGTATGTGTGTATGTGTATATATATATATATAGAGAGAGAGAGAGAGAGAGAGAGAGAGAGTAAGCCACTCTGAGTCTCCTTTGGGTTAGAAGGGCGGCATATAAATGTCGTAAATAAATAATTAATAAATAAATATCAGTAATATATAATACTGATATTGTACTATGCTAATATATTGTGTGTGTGTGTGTGTGTATTGTAAGCTGCTCTTGAGTCGTAAATAAATAAGTACTAAATTGTATTGTCGAAGGCTTTCATGGCTGGAATCACTGGGTTGTTGTAGGTTTTTTTGGGCTATATGGCCATGTTCTAGAGGCATTCTCTCCTGACGTTTCGCCTGCATCTATGGCAAGCATCCTCACAACCTCTGAGGATGCTTGCCATAGATGCAGGCGAAACGTCAGGAGAGAGCGCCCCTAGAACATGGCCATACAGCCCAAAGAAAACCTACAACAATCCAAATAATAAATTTTTGAGCACTCAAGGTCTCTTTCCCATTTCTAAATTTCTAAGAAATTAATTTTATTTAATAGTTTTGTAGTTTCTTCCTCTCATTTCAGGTCCAATAGAGGGCTTTTTCAATCTGGAAGTAAACCAAAAGCCAACTTCTGGTTTACTTTCTGGTTAAAAATACTTTATCTGTACTTAATCTGGCCAAGTAGCACCCAGAACATGGTGAAATTGCTGCCATCCCCATATCCCTTAGAGCAGTGGTTCTCAACCCCAGATGTTTTGGCCTTCAGCTCCCAGAAATCTTAACAGCTGGAAATGAAGGTAATAACTCTGAAACTTACATAACTTTGTTTCTATCACACCAAGCAATGGTTTGCAAGTTAATGAAAGTGCAAATTAATGTCAAAAGTTGTATTTGATTTCTGGGAATTGTAGGTCAAAACTCTGGGGAACCCACAAGTTGAGAACCACTGCCTTAGAGAATTGTGGCCTGCAAAGTACAACATAAACGTAATCGGAAGATGAAATGTGTGTCCGCCACAATCCAGCTAAGGCCCAAAGCAACCTTTTTCTTTTGCTCCCTTCTGTGCAAAACCATTGCTTGGTGTGATAGAAACAAAGTTATGTAAGTTTCAGAGTTATTACCTTCATTTCCATCTCTTCTGCTTCTCCTTTCCATTAATGACACCTTCTTGTGATGTCTGGCTTGGACAAATTGTGATGAATCTCAACTCGGTTTAATTTGAAATAATGCAACTTCAGATGGGTTTGAAGCTATCAGGTTTAAACAATCCATAGTTAAGGTTGATGCTGGTTTCAAGTTTGACTGGAACGCTGAACTATATTTAATGAAAAATGAAAGTGAAAGGTACCAAGCTCCCTGTCATAGTTGTGCTGGAGGAGAAATGTGGAGAACGTGCAACCTCAAGGTTCGCGTGATTGGTTATCCTGTTAAAATACATGTGACCAGTATAAGAAATGTCCATTGCTTCTGTTACCATTGTTGTATATCCAGGTCCCTATTTTCTTCTGTATTTTTCAATGTTTGTTTCTTTGTATTGTCGAAGGCTTTCATGGCCGTAATCACTGGGTTGTTGTAGGTTTTTTCGGGCTATATGGCCATGGTCTAGAGGCATTCTCTCCTGACGTTTCGCCTGCATCTATGGCAAGCATCCTCAGAGGAAGTGAAATCAGAGGTAGTGATCTCACTAGCTCTGAGGATGCTTGCCATAGATGCAGGCGAAACATCAGGAGAGAATGCCTCTAGACCATGGCCATATAGCCCGAAAAAAACCTACAACAACCCAGTTTGTTTCTTTGCTTGTCTTCATTTTGGGGGTTTTCCCCCCACAAATTATGCAAAGGGCTTCTGTGCCCCTGCCCCAGAAATACTGTTATTGCTGCCTTTTTAAAGAATAGAAACAGGACACATGGGTTATCTGATTCTTTTTGATCTATAAACCCATCTTTATGAACTAGTCAGGTACCTGTGCTTTGCTAACAAAAAGGTTCTTAAAAAAGACTGCTGTAAATCTGTTTCTAACAGGAAGCAGGAAGGGAGGAGATGGAAAAATAAAGGAAAAAGGAATTTAGCACCGCCTTTAAATCTAGCTGATTTCTATTAGCACCAGATTTTGTGCAGAGGAAATAATTTTCAAAGATGTAGCGATTGAGGCTCTTGCAGCATAAAAAGGAAGAAGGAAAGAGGAATTCTTTTTAAAAAAAGGAAATGTGGCAGAAAATAACTAGAAACTAACTAGTATTTATTTCAGCATGAGCTTTCATGGATATAAGCCTACTTCTATGGATGCAGTACTAAGCTTTAAGGCCTCAGGCATAGAGAATATTTATATAGTTCATTGTGTCAGAAGCGAATTAAGAATGCAATCTTGGTCAAACCTTTTTTTTAAAAAAACCCAATGTAGATAGTTTTTCGTCCTGAAAAAAAGAGTATCTGTTTATTTTCATTTTATGTCTCTAATATACTTCATTAGCATAATAGATTTTGCCAAATTGTAAACACACAGATGTAGAGTGTGTTTGCAGAGAGAAACCTTGAATGAAGATCACTGTGACCTTTTAAATATCTCCACTTCTGATTGTAAAATATAGAGCTGTGCCGTCTGCTGTACGGATTTTTTAAAAGGGTTTTGGGGGGCTTGCTCCATAATATTGTCAATATCAACCAAATAGGATAGATGTAGATTTTTTTGATCCACTGAATGTTTTAAATGTTTGATCTCTTAGCAGTTTACAACAAGTACTACTCCCATCTATTCAATAATGGGTCTTGGGCCCTATCTATACTACAAAGCTGTTTCTGAATTCAGATTATCTGCTTTGAACTGGACTATATGGCAGTGTAGACTCATATAATCCAGTTCAAAGCACATGATCTGGATTCAGAAACTGGATTATATGTTGGTGTAGACCCAGCCTGAGTTCAGTGGGATTATTTCCAAGTAAGTGCAAACAGGATTACAGTGCCAACTTCCCTTTTTTAAATAAAAAGAAACGAAATCTTCCTCATTATTGAGTAACATATTGGGATGGAGCTATTCTGACTGTTTCTACCACTTGTTAATTGATGATGGTGCAGTGGGTTAAACCACTGAGCTGCTGAACTTGCTGACCAAAAGGTCGGTGGTTTGAATGGGAGTGGGATGAGCTCCCGCTGTTAACCCCACCTTTTGCCAACCTAACCGTTTGAAAACATGCAAATACAAGTAGATTAATAGGCACTTGTTGACAGAAAGGTCGCAGGTTGAAATCCGGGGAGTGCTATGAGTTTCCGCTGTCAGCCCCAGCTTCTGCCAACCTAGCAGTTCGAAAACATGCAAATGTAGTAAATCAATAGGTACTGCTCTGGCGGGAAGGCAACAGTGCCCCATGCAGTCATGCCAGCCACATGACCTTGGAGGTGTCTATGGACAACGCCGGCTCTTCAGCTTAGAAATGGAGATGAGCACCAACCCGCAGAGTCAGACATGACTTAATGTCAAGGGGAAACCTTTACCTTTACCTCTACACTTGTTTCATATTCAGTGAATAGGACTTTTTTTGAGAGCTAAAAGAATTTGTGATGTCCAAACAGGTTTGACAGGTTTATTTACTGAGATCTCATACTATACTACCTTTGCTCATTGTAATCCCTGTTCAAACAGATTTTTCATGGTTACTTCCTGACAAGTCCATGTGTTTCATTTGGTCACTTTAATCTCCATTCAGACAGGTTTTGCAATTTTATTTCCTGTGATATCCAAGCATATTCCATCCATCCTCTTTAATCTCTGTTCAAACAGGCACTATAGAATTTTGAAACCGTTTCCCCTATAATTGTCTACAAAGCGTAGGGTGCCCAGACCCAAAACCAGACAGGGTTACTGCTACACCTTGAATAGTGGTGCAAAGAAGAGTAGAGTATGTCATTAGGTGTAACTCATGTTCCCTGATGAATCTACACTTGGTGATATCTCTTGATATACACAACAATCAAAATGCAGAATTGCTATACTATTTTGTATCGCCTATTGTTGGCTATTCATGTCTTTTCTGAATATGAGAAACAACTACTTTAAAAAGTTGTAGGGGCAGTTGTGTCGCCTGTAAAGAAAAAAAAAACCCAAATCCAATTTGTAGTCATATTTTTATTAGGCCAACTGGAAGGCACAAAAGAGATCATATTAGCTTTGGAAGCTCGCAAAGTAAAGATGGTAAAACAGCATATGAAGAAAAGTGATGGCATTGTTGTCATAGCATCATCCCGAAGCAAATAATGTAGCCACTGATCAATTGTGCACATCAAAATCATTTCCTGAGTGTCGCTGCCTCCTCCTCCTCCTCTCCATCATACCTGGTGCTTTACATGAGCAGTTTACATTTGTTAAATTGGCAGTTCTGTGTCTTAAGACACAGAAGGAAAAGGGGATATCCATGTGGGAGGGGATTAAATCCAGCGGAAAGCAGAATATGCCTGTGGTTCTCAACCTGTGGGTCCCCAGTTATTTACCAGCTGTTAGGATTTCTGGGAGTTGAAAGCCAAAACATCTGGAGAACCCCAGAAATGGCCCTACTTTGACATTGGAGGAGAACCACTGTCATATGCTCTTTTCTCCTCCAATGTCAAAGTAGGGCCATTTGGGATTGAGGGAGAGCCTTCCCGTAGCTTGTTACCATCCCTGGACATGATTGAGTTCTGCCTGCTTGTTTTTCTCTCTCTCAAAAGCACTGAAAGTTGGGATGGAGGCAGGGGCGGCTCAACCGTTATGCAAAGTAAGCATTCGTAGTATAGTTGATTTTGCCCAGGGGCGCTCTTGGGGCGCTTTTTGGGGAAAATAGACCTTTACATATGTGAGTTGTAGTTACTGGGATGTATAGTTCACCTACAATCAAAGAGCATTCTGAACTCCACCAATGATGGAATTGAACCAATTATGGCACACAGAACTCCCATGACGAACAGAAAATATATATCAATGATTGGTTGGGGGGGGGGCACCAAAATACTGTTTGCTTACCGTTGAAAATTACCTAGGGTCGCCTCTGGATGGAGGGAAGGATTTTAATCTGATGTTGGACCCAGGCACGATGGAGCAGTGACCTTTTTCCAGTGTAGGGTGTATGAGGACAGTAGTCTTTTAAAAGAAGTTGAAATGCTCTGTTTGCCTAATGTTATGTCCTCCTAAACCATTGTTCTTGCATTTTAGGTCATTTTCCCAACAAGGCTATGCCTTCAGCTGGAACTTTGCCTTGGGTACAAGGCATTATCTGCAATGCCAACAATCCTTGCTTCCGCTACCCAACACCTGGGGAGTCACCAGGCATTGTGGGGAATTTTAACAAGTCTATGTGAGTATTAGACCATCTATTTGTTTGTATCTCACCTACAGAACATGATTCTGGTATAAGTGTGAAGGACAGGAATTGGGATAGAGCAGACATAGACTAGGCAGGGATTAACCAAGGGGCCCTACAAAATGTTGTGAAAACATACTCCACACATTCATAGCGGTCATTTGGAATATTTGGGGATGAAAATAATTTGGAAAAAATGCAATGTTTTTTGTAAATATTGTTTTTTACTCAGGGGGTTTGAGTGTATGTGACATGTCGAGGTGACGCATTGGGTTTAATGATCACTGGGGATTTGAATCCTTGTCCCCAGAGTTCTAGTCCAGCATTCAATCTATATGCTTGGTTAAAACACTAATCACAATATGTTAACATTAAATATTTAATGTACATATTTCACATTAAGAATCTAGCTGCATATCCCTCTACACTGGTCAACTAAGGTTGAAAGCCTGCTTAAACATGAAGGGAGCTCCATCTAAATGACAATTTAGATAAAGGATAATTGAAGCTCGTGATGTCCAAATATTCATGACTAGGATCAGCCAGTACAACGTTTTGCCATCCCATTTCTTTCTTTTCCTTTATTGGATGCCAGGAACTAGGCTCTGCCTGAGCATGTCTGTTGCAGCTGAAAAGGCAAATGTCTAGGTGGACTTTGTCCCCGAGGCCATCATTTTGACATTTCTAATCACCAGTTGGATCAAAGTTCAGTCATATCGTGCCTGAAAGCCATGAGTACTTTGTGCCATGGACCACAATGATTATTTTTGACATAAAGAATGAAACTTCAAAATACTATTGTAATAAAATGTACCAAGGAGAACACAGACAGTTACTTTTTTTTTCAAAACAGAAATGTCACATAGCAAAAATGCAAAAATGCTAATAAAGCAGCACAAAACACAACCAGAACATAAGTTATAAAGCGCAAAATGGACTCATACAAAATTAATTCCAAGGGGACTTCCATAAGGGACCTTGTAGACACCAGAATTTAGCTAATTTCATTGCATATAACCAAATTTGAAGTGATGCAACCCTTGCTAATGCCTTTCCATGTTGTCTTGTTTTGCTTTCCTACAATTTCTCAAAATGCTTCAGTGTTTCCCGGTTGTTCTCGGATGCCCAACGCTTACTCTTGTACAGCAAGAAAGATACCAGCATCAAGGATGCACAGAAAGTTGTGGTGAAACTGCAGAAAATTGGGAAAACTGTTACAGGTAAATTTCAGCAATACCATAGCTGGAAAATAGTTTCATGATGCTTAAATAAGAGCTAGCCAGTGACCAACTGACAGCCTGTCTATCTTCCATTTGGTGTTATTTCTTTTTTCAGAATACTTCAGTTCCCTGGAATTGACTTTGTCCCTTCTGTGCCTTCCCTTCCCCTTCCCCTCCATTTTCGGTGCATACTCATCTGTTAGATGGAATAGGGTAGTAGAAGAACAAAAGAGAGAATTTGGTATGAGAGTGGTGGACCATGAGTTTTGTCTAACATGGCTGTATTTGCCCTTGACCTTTCGGAAAGTCAAATACGTGAAGAAATTTTATCTCACTCTGGGCAAAATCTTATTTCAGATATTGTGCTCCACCTGGCAAAAAGGCCATCTTTTTCCCCAGAGATTTCCAAACTGTGTGTTACCACATGTTAGTGTGTCAGCCGCAGTGTGCAGAAGTGTCATATGAGTGAAACAAGAAATGACAAAAACCTTAGAAATGTATGTTGTTATATTAAAAATCATATATTTTTAAATATATATAAATGAAAAATTTTCATAGGAAACGTTGTGTCTCCATATACTTAGTTATCGCAGTATATGTATGTGTCCATGTCGCTTATAAGGGGCCAGTAAACTGAATTATTGTGTTGTGAAATAATGCATATCTAAAAAGTGTGCATTTTGGGAAGCTCTGCTCTAGCCCAATGGTTCACAGACATTTTAAACCACCACCATCATCCCAGTGACTTGCTTTACATCTACATGTGGATGTCATTATTTTATTTATTTATTTATTTACAGTATTTATATTCCACCCTTCCCACCCCGCAGGGGACTCAGGGCAGATTACAATGTACACATATATGGCAAACATTCAATGCCAAAGACACACAACAGATATAGACAAACAATCAGAGGCTATTTAACTTTTTCTGGCCGCCAGGGAAGCTGTCACTTTTATCGTCCATCTGCGCCACTGATGAAGTACTTCCGTATTCCCCGCATGCTTTTGCTGGAGTGCTTTGTTGGAGTCTTTTTTTATGGCCTCGTAAATTTTGTTAAATTAGTCTCCCCACATATAGGTGGTACCTAATTTTCCTACTTGACAGATGCAATTGTCTTTCGGGTTGCAAAGGACGCCAACAAGCTACACAATTGGTTGGAAGCTCACTCCGATGTGGGCTGGCTTCTAACTCATGACCTTGTGGTCAGAAGTGATCTTAATGCAGCTGACACTCAGACAGCTGCGCCACAGTCCCGGTGCCAGCAACCCTCTAGACATAGTATATGAATTAAAATATGTTCCTGCTTTAGTATGCATATTCTAACTCACTCTCAGCTTGACCACTGTAGGGTCACCGAGGGAAGAGCTTTTCAGCAACCTCTTCTTCTTCTTTTCCCTCTGAAATGGGAAGGCTGGCCCCTGTGTGCTATGCGGTCACTAAAGAGCATGTGCTTTCTGTGCTAATTATGGCATGGTTGGAAAAACTTAATGTGAAATTTTGTAAAAAAAAATGAAGCAAATTTTTGCTATATCTCGGGTATCAGGGAAATATACAAGGGGAAGACACTTCATAAATCCTAGGTAGTGCATGCACACAAATGCACAGGCTTGCCATTCCTTTTCACATTCACGGCCTCATCCGACGGGACTGAATTCGGCAGCATATGCCGGTTCCTCTCCAGTTTAGTCACGGAGCCTGCCAGTTCTCATCTCATGATGTACAGCTACTTCCAGCGAGGCTCTGCAGCTAAACTGAAGAGAAACTGATGTATGCCACGACAGCAGCAACTGGAAGTTTCCTGTGTTGTATTAGCAACAATGGGGAGAAGCCCTCCCTGTGGGATGGGATTAGGTGTAAGTCCACAATGCGGGTTGTGGGATGACAGGTTTTCAGTGCCCCCGCTGGGCACTGCCAGGTTCGCCATAATCCTGCAATCCCTTCCTTCTGTGTAAACAGGGGAGAAAACTGAGTAATGCCCTATTTGCCAATTTTAGTATATGTGTTGCCGAAGCGAGCATCTCCCCTGATTAGAATCCATCATCTCAGGTCTCTTAACCAGAAGGACTATTCAAGTGTACTAGTGCTCACCATTGTTGTTCAGATATTCAAGTAAACATACTCTTTATAATGCCAAAACCGTAATCCTCGGGAGAGCTGAAAGGAAATTTGTCTGAAAAGCTGCTAGCAACCATAACATGTTGCATGCATTTTTGGAATATTTTGCTTGACCTAATTGTTAAAAGGTTTTATAAGGACAGTCGTGGAACAGAATACATGTGTCTCTCTTTCTAAATGTCAGGACAAATTTGAGGAGAAATCCCACAATTTTGTGAATCGTCATGCATAGGATTGTTTGTTAGTTGCCGTTTTAGATTATTTATTGTGGTCTAGTGAATGAGGCATGAAATGTTAAGCACCAAAGGCTTCCAGGGGGAAAAAAGCAGCTGCTCTGTTTTACATTAAAAACCAATAAATTTGGTAAAAGAGAGGTGGAAAATGAGCTAAATCTGGACCAGTATGTTTAGATCAGGTTCCTGTACCAGTTACACAGTGATGAAACCATTTATTATGATACACCCTTCCTGGGACTGCCTTTGAAAACCATCTGAAAATGTAAATGAGTTCAGAATGCTTTTGTTCTCATGATGGTCTGCGAGAAGGCCTTACTGGTACATTATTTAAACAGTTATGTTTATTCATATCATGATATAATCACCATGCTCAATATATCCCATATGCATGGGGGTATTGGGGTAACGATACAAAAGGTTTGCTAGGCTAGACCCTCTTTCACTCAGACTCAGCGCCCCCCCCCCACCCCGAATCAAACTCAGCTCCCCCCGAAACAAAATCCTGGCTACGGGCCTGATTCTGGAAGATCTAGAAAATGCCTAGAGAAAGCCTATTTTTGTGTGACTAATGGCAATGTTGGATGTGAATACAACAGCACAGCTTGCATTTGGGAGTGGAAAGGAACTCAGGATGTTGCATAACATTGAATCTACGTGTCCCTCTATTCTCCAGTGCAAGAGATAATTTTGAAAATTTTCCACAGATGTTGGGAAAGGTGTAGAACAATAGGGATTGATGGCTGTCTACTGTTTCTTTAAAGGCAAACGCAGAAGGCCAGAGGGCAAGCAGACCTTATGGCAGGAACAAAAGAACATGTTTTCAATTTAGGGCAGGCACTAACAGGAGTACCGGCATTTGCATCACTTCTCAGAGGTCAGGACATGCTCTGAGCTTACTGAGTTCACTTGGATATTACTATCAAGTCAGATGTTGCTCTTTGTGCTTTATGACTCTTAATTGAAGGCACTGTTGTGTTGCTTTTCCCCATATTCCAAAAAATGTTTACCGTAATCTCATTTCAAATGTTGAAAGCCCTTCATAACATTACCTTGTTTTGTCGAAGGTTTTCATGGTCGGAATCACTGGGTTGTTGACCTCACTACCTCTGAGGACGCTTGCCATAGATGCAGGCGAAACGTCAGGAGAGAATGCCTCTAGTACATGTCCATGTGGCCCGAAAAACCTACAACAACCCATTACCTTGTTTGATGTTCATAACAGTGCAATGCGGCAGTGTGGAATGGTTTGAAGACTATGGCTCTCGTAAACAGTGGTTTGCCTTAAGGGCTTATAGATGAAGCTGAGCTATGCTGTGACCCCTTGGCTTCCCAGCATACACTTATCCTTGACCACTGCTTTGCTATTGGCGAAAAGAATAACAACAGCATCTTTCATAGGGAGAATAAAGCGAGATTGATGAACCCCAAATTAAAAGCTAGCAAATTTATTGGAAAAACAAGGCTTTGGACATGTTTCTTTAGTGGGAGACTTAAGAATAATGCAACTTTTTTAAAAAGAGCATTGTTCGCTCACTATAAGTTGCAATGTCTGCACTTGACAGCCTCCATATTGTTGGAGTGGCTGCGACGAACAAAAGCAAGCTTGTTCTTGTATGTTACACACATTTACACTGTCTCCCGGAAAATTAGTCAGAAGCTGTCGTAGCCATGACCTATAGCTTTGGGGCTACATCTCTGGCAAACTAATGAAACAATAATGAAAAGTATTTTTCAGTATAAGA